GAAGTTACATCTCAAAATCTAACCCAACTCCAGAGCAGAAGGGGAAAAACTGATATAGCTTGGGGTCATTGTAAACAAATTGAAGAGAAAGGAAAACTGGTTAATTTGTGTATTTACTGTGATAAAATTATTAGAGGAGGTGAATTAATAGGTTCAAATTCCATTTGGCTGGAATAAAAGGTCAAGTTAAAACATGTAAAAAGGTGCCTCCAGATGTTCAATATCAAATGAAACAAAATCTTGATGAAGGTGCAAATAAGAGAAGAAAGACTCAAGCACAAAATTTTGATGTTGATCTTACTACTCAAGAGGGTGGTGTAGTAGAAATGGATGTAGAACAATCAAGATCAAATTCGGTGATTGTGTCTCAAAAGAGAAAGAATACTAGTCGTATTGGTAATTATTTTATGCCTAGAATAACTTCTGGAGCTCAACCTTCTTTAAAAAGTGTGTTAGAAAGTAAGGAATTGGTGGAGAAGTGTGATCTAGCTATTGCAATATGGTTTATTGATTCTTCTGTGCCATTCAATGCAGCTAATTTTGCGTATTTTCAATCTATGGCTGATGCACTTTGCAGCATGAGTCTAGGGTATAAAGTTCCAACTATGCATAGTCTTCGTGGGTATTTGTTAAATAAATGGGTTGAAGATGTGAACAAATTGATAGAGGAGTATCGTGAGATTTGGAAGAAAACTGGTTGTACTCTAATGGCCGATGGATGGACTGATCGAAAAAGAAGAACTCTTATAAACTTTCTAGTTTATTGTCCCAAATGTACTATTTTTCTAAAATCCGTTGATGCTTCTCATGCTTCAAAAACTGCAGATATGTTGTATAAGCTTTTTAGAGAGGTGGTTTTATTTGTTGGGCTTGAAAATGTAGTTCACATAGTGACAGATAATGCTGCAAATTATGTTGCTGCTGGAAGGTTATTAGAAAATGAGTTTCCTACTTTATTTTGGTCTCCTTATGCGGCACATTGCATTAACTTGATGTTGCAAGACATGGGAAAATTAGAGGAAGTAAGTGAGACAGTGTCACATGCTTCTAATGTTACCAAATATATTTATAACCATTGTTATGCATTGTATTTAATGAGAAAGCAAACAGGTGGAAGAGAAATCCTTCGTCCTTCTCCAACTCGGTTTGCCACTAATGTCATTGCTTTGTAAAGTATTTTGTCTCACAAAAACTCACTAAGAGCCATGGTAACATCTAAAGAATGTACAAGCTCGGCATATGCCAAAGAAGCAAAGGAAAAATAGTTTATGGATCAAGTTTTAGATTCTGGATTTTGGAGTAAATATGCTGATGTAGTTAAACTCACTGAACCACTTGTGCGTGTGTTGCGCATTATTGATAGTGAAGATAAACCTGCTATGGGCATTCTATAAAAATCTATAGTCAAAGCTAGAGAGAAGATGGTGAGGAGGTTTCAAAGAAATAAGAAGAAAGTGGATCCTTACTTGAAAATATTAGATAAACGTTGGGATTCACAGCTCCACAAAAATCTTCATGCTGACGGTTATTGGTTGAATCCAGCTTGTAGATATAATGATGTAGAATTTGAAAAACATGCATCCACAACATCAGGACTTTTAGATGTCATTGAAAAGAATGCTAATGGAAATTCTGAACTTCGATTGAAGTTAACAGATGAGATGAGAATATTCAAAGACGGTGAATTAGATTTTGGAAGGAAATCAGCCGTGGATGAACGATGTATTGTGAGGGCAGGTAATTTCATAACTTCTAACTCTTGATATATATTTTATTTTATATTTCAATATGTTTATAAATTTATTTAATCACATGGTATAAACAGATCAATGGTGGGAAACTTATGGCACTTGTACACCAACTTTGCAAAGGTTAGCTATTTGTATTTTAAGCCAAACTTGTAGTGCTTCGGGTTGTGAATGCAATTGGAGTATATTTGAGCATATTCATTCCAAAAAAAAGAAATAGATTGGAGCACCAAAAGCTTAATGATTTAGTGTTTGTTCGTTACAACTTGAGACTTCAAAATAGGTATTATTATGGTTATTTTTCTCTGATCATTATATTTTTATATTTAAATACATATACTTAGATTTAATTCATGTGTGCTTAGGAAAATAAGAAATGGGAGTTACGATCCTATCAATATTGAAACAATTGCCGACCATTCTAGTTGGGTATTAGAGGATTCACCACCTCTCTTAACCAATGAAGAGTTGGAAGCATTGCGGAATGACCTTACAAATATGACCATCCAACCAATTTCAAGTGATATTGGTATGTTCTAATATGAGCATAATATAGTTTGTGATTGTGAATCAATTTAATGTCTCATATTTACCATCTCTAAATTTTTTTTATTAATTATTTTTAAAAATATTGTTATAGATCAAATAGATTTAGATGAAGATGAAGATGGAGATATGGGTAATGCACAAGATACTAATGTTGATACTGTGAATCAAGAAAAAAGCAACACCAGAGAAGATGAAGTTGGTGGAGAAGACAATGAAGTTGAAGATGGATATGAATATCAAGATTATGACAATTTGACTTCATGGACATAAAAAATTATGGATCATTGAGTATGGATTTTTGTGACTTATTATAATACTATAACTTATGAATTGCTAAGTTTCTATCACTTCTTTGAATTTATAATTTGCTACATTAAGTTTCTATCACTTATTTTGATTGTTACTAATACTTTTGTTTATTCTAAATTATTTGAATTTATAATTTTCTATATAATATTATAGTTACAAATTTCAGGTAATGAATATATTTTTTATAGAAACCGGGTCAAAAGCCATGCGGTCTGACCAGTGACCCACTGGTCCGACCAGTAACCCAGTGACCCAGTAACTTTATCGAGTCGATCACCGGTCTGGGTTTTAAAACATTTTCCCCGACCAGAGCCATCACTCAACAGCAAAAAGAAAAAAATAGACTCTCTCGTCGGGCACATTCGCACCGAGCGAGAACACGAAAAGCTTGCGAGCAGCTATCCCCCAACACTTATGGGTTGAAGCCGCTCATAGAGATTCATCGTTTCTGATGAGGATCATAAACAAAAACCCATAAACATCCCCATGCCACCGTTCTCAAGCGACGAAACCACCGCCAGACACCAACACTCCACCGGGATCCTCACACTAAGTTACTCTAAACCCTAACCACATGCATTTCTAGGAAGAAAAGCACAAAATCTAACCTAGAACAAATGCAAACCTCATAAAAGGAAGAGGGAATCAAAAACCTTACTGGATTAAAATGAGCGACAGTGATGACAAACAGAAATCTACGGTGGCGATCGGTGGAGCAAACAAAAAATTCGTTGGATTGCAACGTCGAGCAGAAACAAGCCAGTCGAGCAAGCGAAAAATATGAATGAAGCAACCTCTTTCCCTTTTATAGACTGCTTGCTAGCACGTGAGGGGCACACGCCTAGGGAACTCTGAAAGACGTCATCATCACACCTTAGTTCCTAAGCCATCCATCATTACGCCTCTATGACAGCACGCGACTCGATGCAAGCATGGCACACAAATTCCCTAGATTACAGTTGGTCGTTCCTCCCCTTGCATGACGAACACGTCGAGCCTCACTTGTTCTCCTCGTACGGAATTGACCACAGTGCACCCCCATTTCGCGAGCATGTCTTAAAGTCATCACTCCTCTGTCCAGGAGCAACGACTTAGGGGGCTCCTGTTCTAGATTGACCCAATAACTAGAATTGGCCTAATCGGCTCCTACCTCCGGCATGGCCCAACAAGCGTTGACCCAATAACTATGGCTTTGAGTCAGGCACGTCTGATTGGCTATCTTGTGGGACTGGGATACCAACAACGCTGAAATCATACACCTGCCCGTAACGACAGCTTCCTCCCTGATCTGCTCGTTACACGTCTAAAAGACAACCAGACTAGCGCTCACAAGGCGCCTGTCCGTCATCTCATCTCTGCTCAGAGCAACACCTAGATACGGGCAAGACTGCCCGTTTTGACCAGGTCCTAATAGTTACCTATTTTCACGGAACCTAATTTCTAGGTCCAAAAATAAGGACCAATGACTATGCGCCGGAGGTATTATATAAACCCTCACACTTGTGAGGACTTGGTATCAAAATATTCAGTCATAAAACCTTAATCTCTTTGCACTCTTTCTCACTAGATCGTCAGAGTGTCCTGCAGATACACCCCACCCCATCTTCTCCACAAATTTTCAATCACATAGACGTTGTCATCTCGATCTATTTTCAAACTCTGATCACGTGTACGATCAAATTAATATATACGAATGTTTAATAATATCTAACTTGACTCAAATTAAAAATAATTTGAATATTAAAACTAAAATAAGTTAGATAAAAAAAACCATGTTAGATATTAAAGATCCAACATCACTACGTAATCCAATTTAAAGTTTTTATTAAAGAAAATTTAACAGAAATGACTATTTTGTGTAATAGAATTGTTTTTAAATGATCAATATATGTAACATTTTTTAATTAAAAAATAAAAAATATTAAATTAAGTTAATGTATCAAAAGATATATTAAGTCTATAAATCAATAAATTTGAGTATTACCGACTGCGTCAAAATTTGAATTTTCCGATATATATTTGTGTATTCCACACAAAGTTGTGATATTTTAAATTTATATACCTCAAATATAAGTATATTAATAATTATAGAAATTTCTAAAAATACACCACCACCATTCTCGGTACAAGATGATGACAATTAGTAACAAGAGTACTAGCGCCTTTACTACGGCCCAAAGTTATAGGTCATGCTGACTCACCCATGGTCCTTCCTATGTCTATTCTGCATAAATGGTCCACCTCAGATTTTCAAAATCTCTATCTTAATTTAATGTTTTTCTCCCTCACCCTCTCATCTACCTTTCTCTATAACTACACAAAGAGAGAAAAAAATTCATATCAATAAGTATATTTATATATTACACTCTTCTGTTGCCAGCAAAATTTCTAGAAATGGGTGAGGTAAGTGTTATTTTACAGTACCTAATGTTTATACTATAGTTCATATTAATGAAGATTTTATAGTTTGTATTAAAATGTTTTGTTTGGTGTTGAAAGGAGAACAAGGAAGAAGGAAAGAAAGAAGAAAGCAAAGAGGAAAAGAAGGAAGAAGAGAAAAAGGGAGAAGAAAAGAAAGATGAAGAACAACCTCCTCAAGAGATAGTACTCAAAGTTGATATGCATTGTGAAGCTTGTGCAAGGAAAGTTGCAAAAGCATTGAAAGGATTTGAAGGTAATTAATTAATTAATATAATTTTTTATTCAACTTCTTGTTTTAAGCGCTATGGTGTGTTTAGTTCAAGAGAAAAATAAATAAAAAAAAGTTTGAGAAAATGAAAAAGTTGTAATTGAATAAAAAGACATACAAATATGAAACATTAATTGTGATTATTAATTAACGTAGCTGAATGTTGTAGAAAAAAATGGAATTGTTATGCAATATTGTTGGAAAAACATTAACGTTGCAGTGGAAAAAATAAAATAAAACATATGGTTGGAGAAAGACAGTGATACTAGTGTCATCACATTAGTGTTTAAATTGTAACCACGAAAGAGGATAAAATTGTAATTTCAGCAATTTAATAAGTTGAGAAGAGACACAAAAAAATGAGAAAGAGTATAAAAAAAAAGAGAAATCTAAAAAAATTATGTCATTGAATTTAATTAATCAAACATGTTTTCTGCTGCAAATGTTTTGAATAGAGTGTTTCTTTGGATTCATGGCTTATTTGACAAATTGTTATTTCATTAACATTTAGAAGTAATTCATAATATATATTTATTTTTAGACCTGATAAATTAAATATTTAATAAAACAAAAAATTTAATTTTGTTTATAATAGTAATTAGAGGAAAGTATAATATAAATTATTTCAAAATTACAATGAAATATTGTGATTATGTGAAATTTACCTTTAATCCAAACATGCAATGAACTATTTTGTTTAATTAGGTAATAGTAATGTTACAGATAATACTGCTAGATTTTAGGATCTACTAGTGTCAGCTTGGTACTTTGTTCTCTTTTTCTCTCTCCTTTTTTCCTTGTTAGATGGATCTACAATTCATGATTGATTTTGAATTTCACATCAAATACAATACATGATGAAATAATAATTTGTCAATATATAAAATTCTCAACTTTTACACATGTCTACAAAAGTTCATTATTGCATTAAAGTTGTAGATATAAATTGAGGATTATATATTAATTAATTGTTAATAAATTTGAATTTATAATGAAAAAAAGTTTATGTTTTAAAGGTGTGGAGGAGGTGAGTGCAAATAGTAAGAGCAGCAAAGTGGTAGTGAAAGGAAAGGCAGCAGACCCCATGAAAGTACTCAAAAGACTACAAAAGAAAAGTGGTAAGAAAGTGGAACTTATTTCACCTTTGCCTAAACCTCAAGAAGAGAAAAAAGAAGAAGAAGAAATCAAAAAAACACCAAAGGCAGAAGAGAAGAAAGATGAGGTAACAATTAAACTATTATTTCAATTATTTTCTTAATTATATACATTTTGAATCTACAATTTGTCTGATTAAGATTAGACTATTATGATTTAGGGTTTATAGTTTAGTTTTCTGATTAAAATTAGAAGGTTACGATTTAGAGTTTAGTTGTCCGTATAAAATTAGATGGTTACAATCAGAGTTTAAGATTTAATTGTTGATTAAGATTAAACGATTGTGATTAAATGAGAGTGTGAATGTAGGGTTAATATGACATGACATAAAGGAATCAAGTTCCAATAAATGTGGGATTGTACATGAGGAAGTAACATGCATGGATACTTGTTTAGTGTAATATTTTGAATGGATAGAGTTTGCAAGTTGCATTAGTTTTACCCTTTTGGTTTATTGTTCTTGTTGTTTTTACAATGCAAGTACTTGTACAAACACTAGATAGCATGAAAGTAACGAAACAAAAATACGAAAATGATGCCACTACTATAAAGGCACATTAAACGAGGGCAAAGACTGTGACAATTAAGAGATGAGTTTGACCCCACTTTCTTTTTTCCTCTTGACATGCAGCATAATGGGGTCACACTCACGGACTCACTATGTGTATTATGCATGCACCCAACTTCATATATATATATATATATATATATATATATATATATATATATATATATATATATATATATATATATATATATATATATATATATATATATATATATATATATATATATATATATATATATATATATATATAATGTGTATATTTGTGTGTGACATTGTGTCAACATATATGAGTATGATATGAATTATTTTGAAAAGAAAAATATATGTGACGTGGGATAAAAATTAAGATAAGAGATGTTGTGTTGTCGATTATGCATTTGATAAGGATGAGAATGAGTAGGGTATGGTAGCGCTATATTCTATGGTGATAACTAATTTTTAGGGTACATTTTGGGAACCCTACATCCACATGCATGGCCCATGGTATTTTAATTGTGAAAAAATTTGAAACTTGTAGGACATTCTGGAGGCTTTTATTATGGGGCAATTAAATGATTTGTCACACTTTGACAAATAATTATTAAGACATTAATCATGAATCAATCAGATTAAATAATCTATGAAACACATATGCAGAGAAAAGATAATCGTGATACAAACACGTTAATATTTATAATATTTTTTATCGAAATGATGTACTTGTTTAGTATAATAAAATTTATGTAAAATAATAATTTAAATAAATAAATAAATTAAATATAATCACATGTATTACGTAGGGCACATAATATTAAAATAGTTGAATTCTTTAGTTATGGGTAAACAAACATTGATATTTTGTGATATGGTTTGTTTTTTAGCAGGGTCCTACGGTGGTAACAATAGTTCTTAAAATAAGAATGCATTGTGATGCATGTGCTCAAGTTATACAGAAGAGAATCCGTAAGATAAAAGGTACAAAGATTCATTCCTCTTCTCACTTTGGTGCATACAAAGATTAGTTTAATGGTATATTCTAACGATGGATTAAGAATCATGATATGTGGCGTTAATCACGCTATAGGAGGCTTTTATCAATATTTTTCATGCCACCTTTTGACCAAAAGTGTTGTGATTTTATCGTTAATCTATGTATGCTAGGAAGTGATCTCCCTTCCCCAACTATATAAAAGTCATTTAAGATTGTTATATATAGATTAAAAAAATTAATGATTGAATTAATAAAAATAATATTGTCTACAAAATTATCTTTAATATAATTTAGTAAAAATGAATTAATGTTGTATTAGAAAAATAAAAATGAATTAGTAAAAATGATAACATTTGCAGGAGTAGAATCAGTGGAAACAGATTTAGGAAATGATGAAGCCATAGTAAAAGGTGTAATCGATCCAGCAAAGCTTGTTGATGAAGTATACAAGAGAACGAAAAAGCAAGCTTCAATAGTGAAAGAGGAGGAAGAAAAGAAGGAAGAAGAGAAGAAAGAAGAGGAGAAAAAGGAAGAGAAAAAAGAAGGAGAAGAAGAGAAAAAAGAGAGTGAAGAAGAAAACAAGGAAGAAGAAGATGATAATAAAAGTGAAATCAAGCGTAGTGAATATTGGCCATCAAAAGATTATATTGATTATGCTTATGCACCTGAGATTTTCAGTGATGAAAATCCAAATGCTTGTTCTATTATGTAGACTTGTTATTTATAATATTTCTGTATTTTAGTAGTAGCTTATTAGATTAAATTAATTTTCTATTGCTATGTAATATAGTATAATAATGAATATTTTAGCTTTTTGATATGTTTATGAACTTTCAATGTATTTTGCTCCAAACTCATTTATGTTGGACTGTTTGTGTTAAGGTGTTATTGAGTTTTGCCCTGCAATTTCTGTATACCTATAATGTTTGACAAAAATAATATCAAGTCTTTAATGTTGACACTTAATATGATTTTCATGGGATCTACACGTTTTTTCAGTCTTCTCTGAGAACAGGAATGCTCATGTTTTTTTTCAATTTCATTTTTACCCTTTTTAATAACTTGCACAATACAATCCATACACTTCTTATAACCACTATTTAATTTTTAGACAAAATTAAAGACTCAGTTATTTAAATTCTTTAAAATTAAATTTATATAGTTAATTAAATAATTAAATATATTAATTATATTTTTTTATAATAATTATTATATAATTTATTAACTGAAATTAAATAAAAATAAATTAATTTCTATATGTCTTTTTATTTCCGGACATATTTATACTTTTTTAAATAAATAACACTTCTTTCTTTTATATTTCTTTTCTTTTTATATTATATCAAACAATACTCAAATCTACTCTATTCTTCATCTATTTTTCTCTTTTTACATTTTTTTTATTATTTATTTCTCTCTTCTCATATTCTCTTTACAACCAAATTAGTTTGTTTTGAAAGAAATATAAATAAAAGAAAGAGAGACGAGAGAAGTAGAAGAGAAGTCATTGATTTGGAATATTTGGAACACAGTAGAAATAACAGAAAGAGACCAAAATAAACGTGGGTCCCACATTTCTTTCATCTTTTCAAAACTCCGAAGAAAGCAAACGGAAAACTTCAATATTATATTTGTTTTCCATATATAAAAGCATGAGTTTCAATTAATAAATATTGGAGTATTGTTTTACACAATAATGCATGAAAGGATGAACTGAAACTAATTTTTTTTATTAAAATCAAAGAGGTAAATAAACATGTAATTGAGATTTGTTGTGAGTTAATTTAATTAGTAAAAATCAAAATTATAATTAAATTAAGATTAAAATTAATTTTTACTAAAGACTTTTAAGCTAGGGGTAATTTGATACTTTTATAAATAATCAATATTTCTTTTTTCTTATTTCTTCTATTTTTTTATACTAATCAATATATTAAATCAACTCTATTTTTCTTATATTTTTCTCTTTTAATCCTCTTTCTCACTTATTTCTCTCTTATCACTTTCTTCTTTTAATCAAACACACCCTAACAAAAAAATCTCTCAAACGGAAAAGATTGAAATAGTCAATAAACTAAAATAAATTTCTTTTGTGAAATTCTTTAAAACTCTACTCTCTCTTTATATGCTGTTTTATTGATTCACACAAACACACAATATTAAATATTCATATTATTTCAAATTATATATTAATCTTTCTTATCCAATAACCTAATGGATCTATTTTAATTCATTAAATTAAAAGTATACTGATTGAATGATACTTTAATGTAGGAGATAGTTCATTACACTTCATGTTTTACTCGCATATTTTGACAAAATTTCATAAATATCTCTAAAATTTAGATATAATAATTTGTACGCATCAAATATACAATAAATTCTCTCTAAAATACGCTAAAGCAAATGTTAAAAAATAATCTATATTTTGGAACCTAGATTAAAAAGTTATGGAGATTGAACTCCATGTGTGCTTCAACACACTACACATATGTCCAATCTCAGAACCATACAAAAACACATTTATAAATAAAGTATGGATTTCAATGTCTGGAATTTCTATGGAGATTGAAATCTAGACAATTCTGTTTAAGTATTTTCGTTTAGACCTTTCCATTTCTCTTCCATTTTTTATTTCAGCAAGTTAACAAAATGGAGCTCGTGAACATACTCTTGTTCCAGAATTTTTTAATTTTTCTCACAACTTCTACTACACTGCATTCGACCTTATCACATCTCTTAAGTTCTACTCCACTACGTTCAATCCAAAATCATTTATCCCTCACATTTGGTAAGTTTCTCATTTCTTTACCTTTTTTATTTGAGATGCATGCATTATCTAAATAGATTATAATTAAGATACATTAGATTACATACAATAGACACGCCATATGTGTTTTGTCCTAAATTACTTTGGTTTAAAATTTTGAGTCTTTGTGGCTAAGGGTTCGTATGTTTTCTTTCTACTTCTTCTGTTATGGTTTCTTTCATTCCAAATTTTGAAATTCGAACTCTTAGTCCATATAATAAAATACAGGTTTATTTGTTATGCATTCAGTTTTTTTGTTCGATTTTCCAATATTTTCTTTGATTATGATATGATTTTTCTTCTTTGATCACAGAAAAATGGTTGACAACCAAGAAAGAATGAGACATAGTAGAGTGGTCCAACATGCTTCCATTTGCAAGAAGAAAGCTAGACTCTTGTGACTCACAGTTGGAGATGCTTCATTTGATGCAGGAGCATCCTTTTCCTGACTCATCTATCTCTGACACCATCTTCGTGAATTCATGTGTCTCTGACTCATTACAAAGTCAGTGCTTCCTTGATTTACCTAATATTGTCGTGCCCAGTAATTTTTTGAGAGTCCCCTCAGACCTTTACCTACTACCTCTATATGTATACCATACTGCTAGGCATGTGTGGAACACATAGGTAGGATAAATCTTTAATTACTCTTTTAAACACATGTTTTATACTAATTGAATTGTCTAACAATGATGTATTTATTTTTTATAGTACCATGATATGTTGAAATATATTAACCACACTAAAAAGGTTGCAAAGTTGTCGCAACCTGATGAACCATGGTTTTACGATGTCTTACAATCATTTGACCTGGAAGATTTATGCATGGCTGAATATGGTAATATTAACCATGGTTTATTTTCTAAGTTTGTGGAGCAATGGCACGTAGAGACATCATCATTTCATCTTTTGATCAGTGAAATGACCATCACACTTGATGATGTATCATTTCTCCTATATCTTCTGAAGAAAAAAAGATTATTAGATTACTCTAGAATCAGTAGACCTGGTGCACTGCATATTATGGTGACATATTTAGGATCTGACTCGAGTAAAACCCAAAAAAAATTTATTGACGCTAGAGGATGTCATGCCAAATTTCCATTCCTTGTGAACTTGTATGATGACCACCCGTTGTACCCCAAAATTTGCACTCTTAATCCTAACTTTTATCTAACTTATGCTTCTCAATTCATCTGCACCACTTCACTAGATCATTAGCATACCATGTATTCATTCATTGAATAAATATTCTAGGAATTGGATCAATGGTCATGAAGAACTAAGGTTTCCCATGGCACTAGGGTTTCACATGTTTGGGGCTTCTATACCATGCAAGTTTGTTCTGTTGAAGATACCATGGATTATGAATTAGAGTTTACTTATTTGTACTTGTGGATATCAGATGAATTAGGGTTTGATTTGACCATAACCACTTACCTCAGGATTCATTGGGTTTAGTTCATCCATTGAGGATTAATCATTTCATTACTCTTGATGCAAGTCTTTATTTTGGGGTTTGATTCAAAGGCTTGAACTAGAGTATTGATATTGCATTTGGATTTGGTCAACATTGGATTAGGGCAAAATTGGAACACTTGATGATTGTTTTTAAACTTAAAGAATGAAGGGAAATTTCAAGAAATTTGGAAGCCACTTGCAAGAACTTTAACTTTTGGTCAAAGTCAACCTTGAGAGGTTGACTTTTTTACCAAAGTCATATTTAAGTTTCATTTGTGTTTGTCTTTCCAATTGTGTTACTTATTCAAGTTTGGAAGATACAAGAATAATTTGGATTTCACTAAATGCAAATATGGATTGGAAAGTGTATTTCAAATCTTAGTTGAAAAAGGGCAAGTCATTACAAGCTACAAAAGCATTAATGGTTACATTCAAGTTACAAATATTACAAGGGAAATTTATTCTATTAAAAAAACTATAACAAAGGTGTTGTACCCCAAAATTTGCCCTCGCATTTTTCCACAAGAAATCGCAGCTTCAGACGTTTCCTGATTTTTCAAACTGGCTCAAGAATCGGTCAAACAGACTTTTCTCGTCAGTCAGGACACAATTAGGGTTTCATTGATTTTCAGGGCTCTGGAATGTTTCACACAGTTGGCTTAGGGTTTTGGTTGACTTTGGCTCAACTTTGATCAGGCGAACGTTCTTTGGCATTTAATCAGGAATTAGGGTTTTTTTCGTGCGCGGTTCTTCAGAAAGATTTAATTCTACGGCACTTTGCAAGTTATTCCGAGATTTGGGTTGAATACGCGTTGTTTGATTTAATCAGTAAAAGAAGGCATTTGGTTTGAATTCACATTTGTTTGTTTGAACCAGTCAAAGGATACATTCAGTTTGGATTTACAGTGTTTGGTAAGAAATCAGTAAGAAGGGAATGCGTCTGATCAGTTATTGCGTTTGACTGTACTTTGCTTTGGATGATGGAAGCGCCAAGTTCATTATTTTGATCAACGTGGAATCAATGTTTAGTTGATTATTTATTATTCTAAAGATTAAATATCTGGAATTTAATTTTCAGTTATTTTAATTTAAAGAACTATAAATAATAAGTAAATAATTGAAAAAGGAGGAAATAGAATTAATTGGATAATAAAAACTTTTATTTATTTTTAAATTATTCGTACAATTATTGTTTACAATTTATTTACAACAATGATTTTACATTAATTTAAATTTAAATAAAAAAATGAAACTATCCTATTTTTTCTAAGTCTCCAATTCTTCATTCTTCATTTAATACCCCTCTCCATCCAAATATTCATCTGCAAAAAGAAAGGAGGAAAAGTCAAATAGCAGATAAATAAATAAAGAGACAGATATAAAATTCATCATTAAGAGCCATTGATTGGGATCAGTTAACCCTCTCTACAAATCACGGGATT